TTCGACAATCGCATGCAAATTGCTCTATGCAGAGATAACTTGCAAAAACACTTTTCCCAAATTTCGCCAAAAACTTCTCGGGCCTGTATCTCGACCCCCCTTCATTTTAGTCGCCCAGGACCTTCCTCCGGAAGAAATTTAGGTCGAGGGCTACCAAATGACATATCGCATGTCAAAAATGATGCTATCTGCGATTTTAGGCAGCTCTTCAAAATCTCGGCGACAGGACTTACCTTCCAACCTGATAGTTTAGGCATAAGCTAGACCCTCAGATTTTAACTTTTTCTAAATTGGTGCAAAATGTTAAAATTACCCTACCGTTCCCCCATCTTCCGTCAGCTTGCTTTTGCTGAACGACCTGAAAAAACAGATTGCAGATCTTCGCAGCTTTAAAGGGATAGGAAATGCCAGAATCGACTCGGGACTTTAAGCATAGTCCGAAATTGAAATAGATTGGCGTCATTTGGTCGAGAGATTGTTCGGTCGAGACCCAGCCGAAACCAGGGTCGATTCTCGCACTTTCCACCCCCTTAAAACCCTCACCTCTCCACTTTTCGCTTGATATTTCCGAACACTTCAGTGGCCGATAGGGAAGAACGTCTGCTGGCGCGTGTTTCATCTCTAAAAGTACAAACTCTCTTTTGATAAATAAGTTGAATTATGCTCTGTATTTTGGGTTCTTTAGGATTTCCGGGGGAAACCAAATTTTTCCTGGTTTTCCCGGTCGACCTAGTAATCAAATATAAAGTGTTTTCACATTGTTTTTAGTAAATTTTAACTATATTTAAAGTAGAAAAACCTTTCAAAAAAAGTTAGAAAAATGTTTGAAAAAGTCGAAAATTTAGTCATTTTGGGTCTTCCCCCCGCTAATCCTAAAGGTTCTATAGGATTTTTCGACCTAAAATTAAATTTTCTAATTAAAATGTGTGTAGTTTTTATGCTCAGGACTAGTTAAAAACCATTTAGAAACGCATGCGCTATTTAGAAAAAAATTTAGGCTTGGGCCGAAAAAATTTGGTTTCCCCCGAAATACTTTTCCCCCCCCCCCCGGAAATCCTAAAGAACCGTATTTTGCGATAATTTTGGTTATTTTTAATGGTACTATCGGGCCGTATTATTGGAAACTACCGTTTGACCGGCACCACGCTGACCCGTCGACGTAACGTCGGCGATTCCGGATCCTTATCATCTGCCAGCGGCACCATCCGGATCTCTTGCACATGGTCGGGCAGTCTGGAAGAGTGCCAAGGTTATCATCTCTCTCACTCATCTCTCTCCCTCTCTCCCTCTCTCTCTCGCTTTGATACCTAATTTGACTAGCCGATCCACGAAGGCTTGGCTGAGGAATTTTCGCCGTCTCTTCGGAATACAACGGCTCGAATTCCTCATCCCAGAATGGATCCCGGCGAATCTCAGGTGGCCTATTGTAGCCCTGATCCACGATCATCAGTCCCATCTAAAACTCGAGATTAAATTACAGAAACGACAAAATTACGGTAATATTACGGTCGATGAGGGCGTTTGTCTCGAAGTCGTCGTCGTCCTCGCCGAACGGGTTCAGCATCGCCTCCGCCACCTATAGGAGTCAAATTCTTAGTATTTATGGAGCCGCTCACCTTCATCCAGCCCATATAAAAAATAAATTGCAGACTGGACATGATCGGAAAGTAGAGATCGAGCTAAAAAACTGAATTTCGATTCGAATATCGTGTATCGTATCGGAATTTCGCTACCGTAAACCAGGTTTTAGTGTCATATCGTCGCCAAAAGGCTTTTTCTTTTTCGTTGTACATTTTTTAGTTTCTTTTATGCTTAAAAATTCCCAAAAATTGAAAAATTGTCCCTAGCCCACTCCCACTTCTTGCCCGTCCCTTTAACCCCGAAACCCACCTCAGTTTTATTCGTGGCATGTTCGGAGATGATATACTGACGCGAGAGCACGCATACGAGGAAATACGTATGGACGGCGAGACAGACGAGCTGTGGGTACATTATCGGAATTGGGACCCAGTCGTAGTTGCAAATCCAGGCGAGACCCGTTCGGAAGGTTTTGATTTCCTGAAAAAAAAGTAGAAAAATCTCTCTCTCTCTCCTCTCCCTCTCTCGTTCTCTATTTCTCTTTCTCTCTCCCTCTCTCCCTCTCTCACTTGCTCTCAAACAACCCACATTCGTGACGCAAACTTGATAGTAGTCGCTCTCAATTAGCCCCTTCTTTCTCGCATCATAAGTCAAGGCTAATGCCCATTGAAACGGAAGCCAATATTTCGAATACCGGTACTGGATCTCGTCGAATTTCTCCTTTTCGTGCGGCAACATAAAACCTGGAATTTACATTGTAACACAAAATCAATAAAAGCTAAGAACCTGCTGCCACTACCGTATCTAGCGTTGGAAATCGACGCCGCGTTCGCATGCTAATATCTCGGAAGACGAGCACCTGAAAATAACAAGTGACGGTTTTTTAGACATTTTAGGCCTGAGTTACTTAATATTGCAATACAAGAAGTCCGAAAAACCTCTGGCTTCCGCGTCCCTTTAAATAGAAGTTTTACTCACCTGCGCCAACTCGCAGTACCGCAAAATATTTCTTCTATACATCCGGCTCATCTCACCCCTGCCGCGCACATATTCAGCCGTCATTAGGCCGACACTGGAATTGCCAGAAATATGATGATTCAATGTAATTTTTCCTTACTTTTTTCTTACTACGGGTAGCCTTAAAACATAAAATTCAAAAACTAGAATTAAAAAAGATTTAATTCAATCCATTTATTCATATTTAAATCCAATTTACTCTTTCCGGATTATTTAAGAGTACGACTACGACGAACTTATCAATAAAGCCGATAATCTGGTAGAGATACGTCCACCGATTCACCACCACCGTCACAAAGAAGCCGAGCATGAAGTTGAGCGGGATGTAGGATAATCGATTGTCAAAGTATTGGACGACTTTTTCGAAGGTTCTGTAAAAACCTGAATCCAGAAGCAGCCTTTTAAAGGGAGCAAGGATCGAAAAAAGATAGGTTTAACGGGCAAAGTAATTTTGTAAGTCCAAAATACTCCAAATCCTTACTGTTGTTGCCTCGGGTTAAGGGCACTTCGGTAGATGATGCTGACAATCGCGTACAGTATCCACCAAACAATTAATTCCACTGAAAAACTAGTTACTTCATTAAAAAAAGCAGTTTTATACCTATAACGCTCTTCCAAATCGACCCTCGCCATTTCAGGAGAAGCTTAAATAGGGTCCACGGTTTCGAGGTGGAGACGGCTAGATTGTAGTTTATCGTCATCTAAAAACAAACGATTTCTCTCTTGCTCTCTCTCTCTTTTCTCTCTCTCTCTCTCCCGCTCTCTCTCTCTCTCTCTCCTGACTAAAAATAGCTTACCTGAAAAACTAAAATAAATTAGTGCGAGATCGTCAGAAAAAGTAGGTAAAATCCGGTAGATTCCGCAGTTCCGTTGACTGCCAATATTCCAGAGGGGAAAACACGAAAACAATTGGACCTGAAAACGCGGTGACGACCATTAAAAATCGAATTTTATTGGGAGATCGACCCGGGGGATTAAGCGGAACCGCCGAAAAACACGAGGGGGGCTTGGGGGCCGAAAGTTCAAAAGTTGAGAGTGCATACGGTGGCTTTTGAATGGCGATAAAATCGATTTTTTAGAAGGTAGAATGGCGCAAAATTCAAAAGGTTGTATTGAAATTTAAATTTAAATGGTAGAATGGAAAGGCTTAGGCTGCAGTTTGGAAATAGGCTTAAGCTTAGGCTTAGGGATTATGTTTAATCGAATTATGCTAAATTTAGGCGTCTGCTTGAAGCATTCTTAGCGGATTCGGGCAGCTTTAATTTTTAGCTTACGGAATTGGAGTAGCCAAAAAAAATCAAAGAATAAGTTTCTAAGATTTGGTATAAAACTGCGCAACCAAAAAATGTTCCAAAAACTTACACTAACAGGACACTAAAACCCAAATCATGCTGATTTACGCTTAGCAGAAACCCTTGACGGATTTACACCCAAGAGAAATTTTGGTGCTTCAACTAAAAATCAAAGTTTCCGTAAATTTTGACTTATTGCCGGTGCGTGCAATCGTTTTCCGCTACCACTACCCAATTCGCATTATGCTAATCCAACGGGCATGGGCATTTTGACTGGGCGGCGCGGAAACAGCCACTTTTGCTGCTCGGCTTCGATAGTTCAAAGGAATTCCGGGGGGAGGGACTGTTTCGTAAGTGCATAGAACACAAAACTTCGGTAAATAAATCACCACGTCGCAAAAGATGCCATTTTCTTTAAAAAAGATAAGTCCAAAAATTTCGCAAAGCTAAGCATCACGGAAAATCACCCGAAAAGGCGCACCTTTGAAAAACGACCCTATCCCATACCGTCTCTCTTTCTCCATTCCCAGAAACCCCACATATGAAAAAGAAATTTAATGGGCAGCCGCGTCAAATATTTGTGCGATGCCTTTCGGACGACGAAGTTCAAACCACCCTTGTAGACGGTGGTTGATCAGCAAATATGGGCCCCCGATCCTCGGCCCTTTTCCGGCCGCTAGGTACCCACCTACTGTTTGAGCCGAAAAAAGTTGAACGGAGTAGGGTCCTTATTGGGACCCACGTGGCCTGGGGATCGAACTGTGATGTCTGTTCTAAAGTGATGCCGGCTTCCAGAGCTCGTAAACGCGTTCCGGGCCCTGTTGCTCCACTACTTCTTTCGGTACAGGATGTTAACACTGGTGATGTCACCCCACGGTTAGGCACACATTAAAAACGATTCGGCGATTTTGTTTTCTCGCGAAATCAGCCTTGGAAGGAAGGGCCGATGAAGGGGGACGGAGGGAAGGGACTTACCTTGTGCGTAGTTGCAACTTCAAAAATTCGTAAAGACTACGAACGCCACGTTACAGCTATGCCAGTTAGCCCGTCGGTATCAGCGTTTCAAGCCCCTTCGAATACCCTACATGTTACTGGCTGTGGTGGCAAGCGAGACGCGAATTTTTCAAAAAGAATCCATGGGCCCCCTCGGGAAAGTCAGAACTTCCAAAAATCGTAAAACCACGTCCGCGCTGCTACAGCTATGCCAGTTGACGCATCGGAATCAGCGTTTCAAGCTGGTTCGAATGATTCCACGGCGAAATTCTTAAGCGCGCTGGTTAACGCGAATTTTCGAAAAAATCCGTGAGGTTCTGTGCAGGAAAACCGATCAAAAACCACATTTGTAAAAATTCTAGCAGCTACACCAGTTCCCGTACCAAACGAATTTCGACATAATTTTTGATGCTTTTTCGAACGGCGCAATTCGATACGGCCATAGCTTTCGAATTTTTGGCGAAATGGGCTTAGATGATCGGGACTGGGAGCAAAAATAAATTTTCCCCCGTCGCCACATCACCGTTCCCGATCCTTGCGAGTTCCCGATGATCGTCAACGCTTTTGTCTCAAGTTGTACCCAGCTGGTGCGAAGACATGTACCCGGGGTATTGATGCTTATTGTCTCGAGCCCGCCATCGGTCATCCCACCGGCGCTGGCGGGAAACAGGTTCGCGCGTGTGGCCGAATTTCAGCAGTGATCGCCACCCTTCTCAATCACCCGCGCCCTCTCGCGCTCAATCAACTCCCGACTCATTCGCTGCGCAGAAGAACTCGCGAGTTTCCGGGTGACGACCTCAATTTTTGTGCGTAATTTTTTTGTGCTGGCTCACATTGGCAGGATCGACGACTTGAGGACGTTCGAAATTTTTAAGTCAACCTTTCTAAAAAAATGCATTAATTATTATTTTTATTTTACAATTTTGCTATGAGTTGTGATAGTTTAATTTAATCTACTTTAACTCTTTTGCTTGAAAAACGTATAGCATTGCATGAAAATCGAGGGTTAGCTACCACACGATAAACAAAGAGTTCCGCTCATTACTTGAAAACCATTTATGGTGGCACGTAATAATTGAGCATAAAATTGAGCACCAGACCAACATCGATATTTTGAACTAAAAATTGACGTCGTTTCTCTGCGCCAATGCAAATGTCAGCTTCAAAATTTGCGAATTGTCCGGTTTTCAAACCAAAAACCGATCCGAAAATGTTGACCCCGAGCCTTGAATTGGGCTAATTTCTCGGTGGATCATCACGATCTCGCCAAATCTCCCATATGGGCGTTTCATTTTGGATTGGGGAGAGGCAGGGATGGATTGCGGGATGATATGGAGATGATCAATAGGCGGAAGGGGGCAAATGATCTTTTCTTCATCGATTCCTCATCTCCCCCGCACCACACCAAGTCACACTACTTCCCAAACTCCGCTCCCCATCAAATACTATATTTCCTCAAGCTTCTCATAGGTTTTGGTTGGGGTGTTTTGATTTGATGTAAACTGATGGTTTTTAATTAAAGGGACGTTAAAGACAAAAATCAAATTCGAGCTCCATATCCTATGAAGTAAACTCTTGCTTCTTTTATTTTTGCAGATGTGTTAACCCAGAATTAAATGAAAAGCACGGTTGTATCATTAGATTAAAAAAATTCATTCTAAAGATACACAGCATTCTCGGAATTTCATTTAATTTGGCACTTTAACAAAAAACTATTAGATCTAATGCCAGAAAATTCGTCATTTTCTGGTAGGAATTTTGTAGAATTCACTGCGAGCCGACGACCCAATGTCGAGATACAGGGTTTTTTCTGCAGCAACCTAAGAATTTTAGGAACTTTTATGGATTTAACGCTATAGCAAATTTTTGTCACACCTTATAATGGATTTTGGTATAATAGATCTTGGGTCCAGAAATTTAAACTACTAACGCATTTATGTTTTTTCAGTGCTTCGAATGGTTAGGCATTTTCGATAAAACCTACAGTATACCCGGTAATGGCAGCAGTTACAATCAAAATTTTCTTGATAAGTTAATTCGCCACCAACCGTTGCCATTCTATTTTGTTTCTATAAACTTTATCTTTCACTCTATTTTTAAGCGCTTATATATAAACTTCCAGTATCCCCTCCCCACACGCGTGTCGTGTTATGGATGTGGGTCTAGGCCTGGGCCCTCCCCGAGGGCCCTTGGGCTACGAACCTGACGACGGCCTTCCACAAGCAGATCCACTGCCGGACGGATGGGTCGAGCACCGACTGCAGGTCGACCGGAAGCGTTTGGAAGCGATGATCACGGGTATATTAGAATTTTACAGGCCTTTTGAGGACACTTTAGGCAACCCCCTCCACGGCACCGGCCTATACCTCCAGAATGCCGACGAATTTTTCCGGAAGGTACAAGAAATGTCGGAGGCTGTCGTCTGCTGGCCGTCAAAGCTGAAGATTGGCGCGAAGACCAAGAAAGGTAAGCCGAAAGCTAGAAAAATGACTTGTTTTAGACCCATTCGTGAAGATCCTCGGCCTTCCACACCAAGTCGAGGTAGCTGCTCAGTTGATAGCCGCCAAACTACAGGTCAAGGTAAGGAGCTTACGCCTATTCTTAAGCCTATACCTAAATCGAGATCCTAAGCGTTGTATCGTATTTTAGAGAGATCGTGTAACGCTCAAAATGGAAATTGTCCACTCGGCCCATTCGCATATTATCGGAAAGGGCGGAAGGGGTAGTCAGACGGTGATGAGACATACCGGATGTCACGTCCATTTTCCGGATGGCAACAAGTATAGGTGGGTGGCGCATGAATTTATAGATTATCAAAAACAGTGGCAACATCGAATCTTGAGCTAATACCTATTTATTTCAGCGAAGACCTCACAAAAAGTGACCAGGTTTCGATCGCGGGTCCCGCGGCGCAAGTCGAGCAAGCGCGACGGTTGCTTAGGGTAAGTGAAATTTATTCTTAGGCCACTAACACCAATTTTTAACCTAGTAAAACAATTTTTTTAAGGCTAATATTTAATATCAAGCCAAGGGTTTAAATTTAAAGCTACAAAATCGTTCGCATATCCACAACTCGTTAGAAAACGAAATTTTTGTAAATCAACTTTTTGGTTAAAATTGCGTTGATATAGTCCAATTCTAAATCTTTTTCGAGTTCCACATAAAGTATAAAACTTATTAACGTTACTATAAAAACTCCCCCATGTTTTCAGGACCTCTGCCCCGTTATCATCCAACTCGAAGTCCCGTACCTGGCTGCCCATCCCCCAATGTTCCCCCCGGTCAGCCCGACCGTAAATATAATGTGGAAAAAGGTGTGCGTTGCCACTTAAATAATATGGATCGACAGATATCAGATTGCCTACTGACTTGTACGCTGCGAGGCTGCGCCGGGAATGAGGCGGATTTTCAAGGGGCACTGGACTCACTGCTACAAATGCTACACCTTCCGGTGAGTACTAGCTAGGTATCGGTAACTGCATGTAATTTTCAGGTAGATCTGTACGTTTGTTGTCGAGTGCTCGTCGAGATACGGCCTGTCGCGTTGAAGGCGCTTTACAGCTCGGCTAACATGCCGAGGTTAGTTTTTGAGGGCACTCTGAAGCAGGGTTAGTGACACCAAAAAGTATACCAAGATGTGTATTACATGCATTTCTTTATACTGTACTCGAAACCAGTGATTTTACATGATTTATTGGCCACAACATTCAGCTCACGCGGTTTTTATTCAGGTTTCTTGCTCTTTTCTACGAAATCGGGCTTTATGGCGTGATTGTGGATGGAATCGTGGTCAATTTTGATAATTCTTAAAAGCAGGGTTAAAGGGCACGTTCAGGGAGGTTTTTTTGGAAAAAAGCAAAGGTTTGTGCCGCGGCCGGGGGTCGAACCCGGGCCCCCCGCTCGGGAGGCGCGGATCGATACCAGTCAGCCACAGCTACAACCTGGCAAGGGGGCGAGGGGCGCCCCACGCCGCAAAGGAGGGGAATGGCCTGTCACAGCACGGGCAGGCAGTGCGCGCGGTCCCTACGTCCATAGGGTGTACACGTTGGGACGAGTACACGGCCCCCTGCCTGAACGTGCGCTTTAAACCATCGGCTTGCTGATGCAAGCAAGATTTAATCTTTGTTTTAAAACGCCGTTTTTCTGCATTTTAATCCACTTTATGAAAGAAAAGGGTGGCGGCTGCAAGGTTTCGTAGGAAATGATGTACGGCCTCTTCTGAAATTCTAGTGGCGACAACGGAAAATTTTACTGGATGTTCAACATCCGCCCTCTATTGTGTTTTGCCTTGTAGAACATGGATCAATCCATTCATCTTTTTTGTTCGTGGTACATGGCATTTTCAGGGCGCCCAAGCTACCGTTGGGCGCTACGCCGGAACATGTATTCGTAGAGATGAGTAGGGACTTGCTTCTGATCATCCCAAAAATCCAATCATAATGGCTATTTGTCATCCTGCCATTATTGTGCTTGGCTTTAAAAAAGTGAGACTCGTCTACTTCCACAATTTTCCCACCTAGCCTGCCTCAGGGAATGTACGAACTTACAAGTCCGAACACCCATTCGTAGTGGTTTTCAACATGCGACCCCTGTTATGCTTTGCTTTGAAGAAATGGCTCTCATCGATTTCGACGGCCTTGCCAGGACCACCGAGTTTATCATTTTGCAGGGAATTGACCACCCAATCTTTGGCCAATTTTCCCGGGGCTCGCATTTTTTCTACGGTCCTATCGACTTTTTTCTTTTCGATATTCTCGAGCATCCGCGCTGGATGGCGTTTAGCCTTGAAGAAATACGATTCGTCGATTTCGCTAGAATTCTCACGAAAAATCCGGCGCGTCCAGGAACCAGAAACGACATATTTGTCGATCTTCTGTAATCACTATCATCTTCGTTTTGGCAGCTGGCGCATCGCCAAAAACACGACTCCTTTGCTCTTGTCCTTGATTATCGACATTTCGGACTTAGCCTTCATATCCCCCCATGTAGCCTCAATGGCTTGAAGGTGGACTCGATGCGATGTGGGTGCAACTTGTGGTTAACCCAGCTGTGGGGACTCAGGTCGTATTGAGCCCTCTAGGTTCTTATGTGCCTTACTTCACTCACGATATCACGAATGCAACAGGTTTTATTCTTGCTTGTTGGGGAGAGGATGCATCCCGCTCCTCCTCTTGCGGCTCCTTTATACCCGCCTGGCCCTTCAGGCCCCGCCTACTGCCCCCTGCCTGAGATAGCATAGGGCGCAGAGATCGGGACCCCACACCAGCGATGGCGACTCCAATTTGAAGATGTTTGATGCCCTGGTAGCCTTTCCACCCATCATTTAGCATCTTCGTCCCCAGCGGCGACATTGGCCTGAATGAAGGGTAATAGAACTCCGCGGGATAGCCGCAATTTTCTTTGACCATGCCGAATACCCATGAATGGCTTTCTAGCATGTGTCCTCGGCTGCGTTCGGCCTGAAAAAAGTAGGACTCGTCAATCTCGTCACTTTTGCATCGGCCACGCAACTTCAATGAGTTAATGACCCAGTCCTGAGCCAGTTCACGATAGGGGATACTGGAGGAGATTCTACGGCGATCGTGGACCATAGAAAAATTCGTTCTATACCGGTGGCTCGGTGACTATATCGTCGCACCAAACAGCCCGACTGCTATCACTCTCTCTCATGATCATCATCATCGTCATCATTTCCGATCCAGCCTAGCGGTATGGAACCACGTTTTCATTCCACCGATTTGGACCAATGTCCGGGAGGTGTTAGGTCGTCTTGAATGGGATGACAAAAGTCATGCACACATGGCGGCCGTGGGCTGGTTTCGGTACGGCCAAGCCGCCGGCAAGCTTAATAGGACAAGGTGATAGCGGGTGTTCCAAAGGGCCTGTCAACTTAAAGGTGTCCAACGAACAAGGCCACATCAGCGCCGACAGCGCCTGCACAGTGCCAATAGTATCCGGAGGGCCGGTTCTTGTGGTCGAGCAGCGACATGGCGCTCTTATCCTTATATCGATAGGTGTGGCTAACGACCAATTCGTCGACTTTGCAGCCTTGTTTCTCGGCGGCCCAGAAAAAAAGGGAACTCCGGTGTTGGAACATAAGCGTGTAAATGTAGACACAGTGTTTTAAAGAGAGGGCCCTTGTCCGGTTTAATCGGCATTTTGCAAACCTCCATAGACCACGATTCCACCAAAGTCACTCATCATACCGCGATTTTGAAGAAAAGAGCCCGAAACCCGAATAAGAACCGCTTACGCAATGAAAAGGGTCTGGATTGGGGGCGGTTTTGGCTGCTGGAGAAATGTGTGGTCGTTGTGGAGCGGATGGAGGTTTAGGGGAGGTTTCTGGGAAATATGACTTTGAAAAACCAAGAAACCAGATGCCGACAATGCTTTCAGAAATTGGAATAACTCAAGTTTTCCCCCTAACCATGCAAGGACGGAACCCTGGAGCGTAACGCTCTCAAAGCGCGAATACGAGGCGCTCCGGTAAATACTGTTGTTTTCTTGCGCTCATCATCCTAGCTAGAATTTTCTGCATTCTCTCCAAAAAAAGTTTGGGAAAAATCTCAAAAAAAAGACAAAAACTCACTCTAATTTTCTTAGTAGCATACAGCCGCGGTGGTGTTTGGCTCGGAAGAAGTAACTTTCGTCGATCTCGACCATGCTGTGGCGGTTTCTAAAATAAATTGTTAGAAGGATAGGAAAACGGTTCGAAGTCTAGTAACTTATCAAAAAAGAACGAAGCGGAAACTTACTGTGAGCCGGTGAACCAGCTATCTTGTCGGCTTGAAATCTTCAAAAAGCCTTTCTGCATGTTAGCTGCCGTGATTTCCGGGAGGTTCAGACTTTCCGCATAGAATTGAGACGCGACAAGCGCATAAACCAGACCCAGACCCACCCGCAGGCGGAACTCCGCCCTCGATCAATTTTGTCTGCTCGTTCCCACGGACGTTTCGGAGGGTCCTTTCTCGGGGGGCCACACACGCTTGCACTCTTAGCCTGGCTCGCGGCCACTATCTTTATTTGCCTCTCTCTCACCCGGTTGCAAAGAGTAGCCCAGCGGAACCCGGGGGTCAACGAAAGGGGCAGAGCGAGAAAGGCTTTCCAGGGCGTAATCGGTTGGCTTTTGGGGTTTTTCGACATGAAAAAAGTTGTTGAAGGAAATTGAAAATCGAAAAAGGTCGAAAATCTCAGGCGACAAAAGCGAAAAACGGAACAGAAAGCCAAGCCAAAAGAACATAAAGTCAGTTCCAACCTTTCCATCGCGTAAGTGGTTGTAAAATAACCATTATTCGAAGAATCTGCGCTTCCCGACACCTTTAAAATACTTTTCCAGGCTCGAGAAGCTGTGCAAGGCATGGAATGTTCAGCTCGACTTCCCGCCCGGCGGCGCCCAACCGGTGCAACATCTCCAGTTCAGCGGCAGCATCGCGGCCATTTTGAGGGCCAGAAAGTTTGTGATGGTGCGCAGGTTTTTTGGCTGATTGAGGCTAAAGGCACGCTCCCTTTAAAGGCCACGCATTTTTAGGGAACCCTGCCAGTGTGCCTACAGTTTGAGCAAGCGCCAGCAACCTCAGCGTTGGACTACACGGCCATCGAAGCTTGCCACGCTGTCAGCATCCAAGCCAAGTCGAGGCTCGGCCAGGGCGGCGAGCAGGTGGTAGGTTGATTTTATGGAGGTTTATTGGCGTGCTTCGTATAACTGTAAGTTCGTGATTTTTAGAACTTCTCCATCCGTGCCGCCGAAGAGCAAATGGTCAACGTCCTGCGGGCCAGGCAACGGATTTTGGGCCAAGAACAAAGCGAGACGATCGATGATGACTATGATTTTATGAAGATTACCCAGAATTCAGGTAAATTATTGTAGTAAAAATGAACCACGATTTTTAGAGACGATTGCACCATTTTCGCGATCACTCGTTGGGCGCGGGAATAATTCGGAGGAGTCGACTAGGGTAAATTTTTGCATAGTTTTTGATAAATGGAAAGAGAATGTAAAGAGCGAAGGAGAAAGTAGGAGGTCGAGAGAGAGAGAGATCAAGAAAAATATTTCTTTAGGATGCTCCCCCTCTCACCGGATCCGGAAAATTCTCCCATTGCCCATTCACTTTTGACCGGCGCGAAGCACATCAATGGAGATTCGTGAGTTTTCGTGGAATAGTGACTTCTGCGTTCCTTTAACCCTTATTTTGTAACCTTAAGAATATTTAGTGTAAAATTTAAGTTATTTTTAGACAACTCTGGTCTGGTCAGCCCTCAGCCCGTCGTGCCTCGAGGGAGCAGATGCTTTTCAAGGCTCATCAAGGTAAAGAATAAAGAATGTGCGTGAGCACGGGAGAGAGAGAGAGAGAGAGAGAGAGAGAGAGAGAGGGAGAGAGAGATAGAGATAGAGAGAGATAAAGAAAAAAGAAAGAGATCTAGCTTTTTCAGCAATTTCCGACACGATCGGTACTTCCACCCGCTATCCCACAGACCTTTGGGCCGGATATGGGTTCTCGAACTCGTTGCCCACTGACCTTCTGAAGGGCATGATCGACCTAAAAATGGCAGCCGGAGCTGATGGTGCGAATGGCCATATGGTAATTGGGTCTCAAGAATTACAATGGACCTGAATGGCTTGTCCACTGCCACTCAATTTTTTTAGGCTCCCAGCACTTCGATCAAAGGGCTGGCGGCGGTGAGGGAGGAAGAGGAGGACTCCTCGTTGTCGGCTTCCTCTTCCTCTCTATCGAACACGTTCAGCACCCGCGTTTTCCAGAAGAAACAGAAACTACCAGGTAAGGCATGGAGAGAGAGAGAGGGTGAGAGAGAGCGAGCGAGGGAGGCAGAGAAAGCGTTTAGAAGATGCACTAAGCATATTCAGCCTTCTCCGCTTCGACGTCCATCTTCGAGTCTCCACTTGGTGCATCAGAAAGTGCATGGGATGTCTCGCTATTCACCGAACCGGCGATGGTGCTCGCGCAACTTGGCCTTGGCGAGTACACGGCCAATTTGAGAGAGCAGGAGGTGCGCTACGCTGCATACCTTAACCCTACATATCAACCTTAAGATCGATATGGACGCTTTTCTACTCCTTGATGAGGCCGCGCTACGGGACATCGGTGTCGCCACCGTCGGAGCGCGGAAGAAAATCCATCACGCCATCCTTAGTAAGATCTCTGGCCCATACTGTATTTTTCCCATTTTTAGAACTTCGCGAATCCGCGAAGGCGCAGGGCTACTCGCTGTGAGAACGGACTCACTTTTTGTTGCCATTTTGGCATTTTCATTCTATTTTTGATTGTTTTTTGCCTGCCACTCACCTCATTTGCCATGACGCCCACCTCCAAAAATTTCTTGCCTATCCCAAAAAGCCAGCCGAAACCATTATGGGTACCCCACGACCGCTCGGTGCCTCTGACATTATACTCTATTTTGCATTCCTTGAATTTCCTTTTCACTTATTCCGGTGCCATTTTGGAGCAAAGCCAAGGAGAAATTATAATAAAGTCGTTGCCAACGAGAACACACAGGGAAGCTTAGATTTTTTATTTTTTGTTTGCCCATAGCCGTCGGTTCCGCCCTCCTCACCATTGGGCAGATAAAATCTCTGGTCTTTGAGACGTTCGCGTGCAGCAGGAAATGGGTGGAAAATAATGGGGGGAGAGGACACTTTTAATGTTTGAGCATTTGAAAGCTTTTGGAAGAGGCGCTTTGAAAGCGCTAATTTTGATGTCAACTGGCCTAATTCGAACTTAAGCGTAATCTAAGCCTAAGCCTAAGCCTAAGCCTAAGCCTAATCCTAAGGCGAAGCCTAAGCCTGAACCTAATCCTAAGCCTGCGCCTAAGCCGCATCCTAAGCCTAAACCTAAGCCTAAACCTAAGCTTAAACCTAAGCCTAAGCCTAGACCTAAGGTTAAGCCCTAAGACTATGCCTAAGCCCAAGCCTAAGCCTAAGCCTAAGCCTAAACCTCAGCCTAGGCCTAAGCCAAGACTACGCCCATTTTTTCCCAACATTCTCAAGGGACAAACTTTGAAAATTTACATGCTAAGTAATTAAGGTAAGGTAACCTAATCAAGGCAAAAATTTCCTACGTTTTCCCACCATACTGCATCGCTTTTTGTATTATTGCCAGCCTACCATTAACTACACATCCCTTTTAAGGGTCTTCATGCGCAAGACCCTACAAAAATTCAAGCTAGCCAGCTACCAGTTACCCGCTTTCAAACAGGCGGGCCCCGGGCCCCGGGGGTTTTGTACTTTGTAGCCCCGGGGTGGTATTGTTGAGCCCCGGGCCCCCGACCCGTCGAGATTTGCATAAATCGGCCGGCCAGCGAGGGAGGGACTATAATTCGCGATGGGTTTGTACTTTATAACCCCCGCCTAGACTCGCCTAGGCGCGCTGCAAAATTTGGAAAAGTAAGTTCCGGCTTGCCCGTTTTTTTGCGGGGCAACGATAATCGCCCCCCGAAATGTTCCGATGTCAGTCTCGATTTTTCACCGTTTCCAGGGCTGACCAATTTACGGGTTTGCAACCCCCCTCGAAATAGAACGGCAGCAAAGAACGAAACCGAAAAAAGCCTTGTTATTTTGCGTTTAGGGAATCGATTTTATTTGGCAAATTAATGAGTTTTTCTGATTTGTTTTATTTTGCATTTTTTCTACAGTAGAAGCCAGCTAGAAAATCTTAATAAAAATAATTATAAATGAATTAGACTTAATTCATCGAGATTTTTTGTATTTTAACTTCCATGTTTTTTTTTTGGCGTTTTAATTTATTAAGTGCTGCCTTATGACAATTTTTCGATTTCTTACATTTATATAACCGAAACATTTATGCTATAATGACTTATAAATTCATTACATTTAAAAATGAGTTTTTATCAAAATGCCACAATTCTATTTTTTATCAAAATTTTTTTAATTTCCCAACAAGTATTTTCACAATTTTACACTTTTCGAGCGTCAACCAAAAATCCGATCTTTGCATCCGTTTTCCCCGTTTAGTACCGTCTACGTACGGCAAGTAGTAATTAATTACGTACCCGACTGACGCCTGAAATTACTAGTTTATCAGCCAGGATTCCTATGGCAACGCCAGGCGGCAAGATGGCAATTTGGGGGTCGTCTGGGGGTTTGAAAGTTGCGTTTTGCTCGAGTCATATTCTGAAGAAATCGTACCGTAGCCTTACTATACTATACATTAAAATTACAAAACAATTAAAATAAATTATATTAATTTGGTTTTGTATACAGACAACTAGAGCTAATAGCTTTTAACAAAACGGGAAACTAAAAAAGCCGTTTTAAGGCTACCCCTACTTACATATGAATAAAAAGCATGTAATACCCAAAATATTTTAAGGAGTATGGTTTAATAGCTCTTCTTTTAAAGGTGATGAGCAGCGGCTCGCCGCTATGGAGCCTGGGGTCGATCCGATTGCGCGTCGCGCTCCTCATCCTCGCCGCCCTCTCCATCGAGGGGTTAATGAGGAGCAACCTCAACATGGTATGTCCCTACCCCTTGAAAACGAAAAAATCGGCTTCAGGCCATGGTCTGCATGTTGAACTCGACGGTGTTGGCGCAGGAGCGGGCGCAGAAGGTGGGCGACGTTTTTTCGCGTTTTTAAGGCATCCGGAAGTGAAGGAAGATCTGTAGGGCAGGCTAGCAGAGATCCCTCAGAGAGCCTATGTCAAAAATCCTATGCCAAAATCTAATTTTTAACTTTAAAGGAACTAGTAACTTTCGGAAAACATTACTGTTAGGGCTAACTAGCAAACACCTCACGTCAGTTTAATTTTTAAGAACACCCTTTAAAGCCTTTACAAACTTGCCAAACCCTGAAATTCAGTTCATCATGATCGGCAACGTGAGCCATCAAGTTGACGACTGCCCAATTCTGGAGATTGGAAACCGGAAACCGATGGAACATGTGAGTTGGGAATTAGCGAAAAGGGTTTAGGAAAAAGGGCTTAAGCCTAACCCTAAGTCTAAACCTAACCTTAAGCTTAAGCCTAAGCTTAAGCCTAAACCTAAGCCTAAGCCTAAGCCTAAGCCTACACCTGACGCTTCCGAATGGCGGTCCTGAACCGTTAATGGGGAAGGCTCTCGGCAGGATGGCTTGCTCCCGCTACACCCTCCTCCCCGCTAGCAGACCAGTACTTTAGAAATTACCATAATCTTTTAGCGCGGCACCTTTGACTGGAGCTCCCAGGAGCGCGCCGTCCTCTTTGCCATGTTCTACGTTGGTGGATTGGTGGCCGCGCTAACCACCGAACCGCTCACTAGAAGGTCCGTTTCAGCAAGGGTGACAGCAAGATTCTACCTTTCTTCAGGTACGGCCCGAAAACCGTGGTGATGTGGGGGGCGTTGGTGAACGTGGTCGGCACGTTCGCCACTCCGCCGACGGCCGCCCATTTTGGGGCCATCCCCCTGTTTGTCGTCCGATTTGTCATGGGATTTGGGCAGGTGAGCGGCTCTGGCCAACCCTGATACCCTACGGTATTTAGGGTGTACTGTACCCGTGTATGGCCGTGCTGGTAGCGCATTGGTTTCCGGCTGGGGAGAAGAGCACTGCTGTGGCGATTACAACAACTGGAAATCAGGTATGGTAATTTTTCTCGAGCGGTTTCTTGCTCTCTCACTCTCTCGCTCTCTCTCTCTCTCTCTCTCTCTCTCTCTCTCTCTGTCTCCCCCTCTCTCTCTCTCTCTCTCTCTCTCTCGTTCTATCGCTCAAATCCAGGTGTCCGTCGTCGTTGCCCTATTCCTGACCGCCGAACTCTGCCAGCTGCCGTGGATGGACGGGTGGCCGTTCGCCTTCCATCTCTACGGTACCGTAGTCTGTACACGTTTTAGAATCCATTTTTAGGTGTAATTGGCGCGTTGTTCTGCGCTTCTTGGTGGTGGGGCGTTAGTGATCATCCGTCCACCAATCCCTACATTTCGGCTGTAGAAAAGGCCCATATTGATGAGGGACGGAAGAGCAATCCGCATACGGTAGGTTAAACGCCTCTTTTCACTCTCTCTCTCTCTCTCTCCCTCTCGCTCGTCTACCTTCCTTACCGTATTTTCAGGAGAAGCCGCGCTGGGGAGTGCTGCTGAAATCGCCGCTAATCTGGTCGCTGGCCGCCTGCTCGTTGTGTCATAACTTCATTACCGTTGGCACCGTCACCTATTTGCCGCTCTACTACCGTACAGTGCTGAATATGAGCTTGACCTCGGTGGGATATCGGTCCCGAATTAACTAGCGTAATTGTTGCAGAACGGAATCTTCTCAGCATTGCCGTTTGTTGCGCAGTTTTTCTCGAAGGTGCGTTGAGCAAGTGAGCGAGAGCCAGAGAGAGCGAGAGAGTGAGAGATAGAGACAGAGAGAGGGAGGTGGCGAGAGGTAGAGAGCGAGAGAGATGGCGAGAGGTAGAGAACGAGAGAGAGGGAGAATGTGGTGACAGCAAAGAATTCATTCCAGGTAGCTTTCGCCTCCTTCGCCGACGAGGCCAAGAAGCGCAAATGGATGAGCATCACCGCAGCCACAAAAATTTGCAATTCCATGGGTAAGCTACAGTATACCTTGGGGAGCCACCATCTCTCAGCCTCATTCGGCATCGGCTTCTGCTTCCTGGGTCTCTGCTTTTTCGACTGCCAACTTCGAGGTTGGGCCATCGCCGCGGTTTTTGGGGCCATGATTTTCGTGAGCGGCTACGTGCCCGGGTACAATACAAGGTATGGAGGTGTCTTCATCCCTGAAATCCTAATTTTAAGCGTGGTTTGCGTGGCCCCCTCGCAGACGGCGGCCATCGCGTCGTTTACGCGGTTCTGGGGCCAGGTCGGCTCCTCGGTGGCACCGTATATGATTGGAGCACTGGCAAAAACGGTGATTTTTCAGGCATAAATGAGATAGAGGAGTGAAAAGAGCGAGAGAGAGAGAGAGAGAGAGAGAGAGAGAGCGGGAGAAGAGCGAATTAGAGAGTGAGACTACGCGACTTTCCAGGGTACACTGGATGAGTGGAAACACGTCTTTGCCACCATCGTCTTTCTCTGCTTCTCATCCGGCATTTTCTTCCAGGTGATCGCAAAAAAAAAATTGAAATAATTTAAATTTAATTGGAAGAATAACATGCATGATGTAGCAACGTATTAAAAATGCAAAATTCGGCGTTTGGCGTGAACTATGAAATTATGCAAATTTCCCAGATCGTCGGCTCGGCCTCGATTCAGGACTGGGACACTTCCGCCCAGTGCACCGAGATGAAGCTCATCGAGGCCAAGCCGGAACCGGAAAAGGTGGCGGAACCCCAGAATCCGGAAGCAGTCCCACTGGATGACCCCAAGCTACAAAGTACAACCTAGTTTTTATGCTAATTTTCATGCTTTTTGCGCAGCCCAAGTTTCTCGATTCTCAAGATTGCAAATTTATCCTGGTTTTAGGCATATATTTGTGTACATATCAAAATCGACTCTCTCTCTCTGACTTTCATCTCCAATTTGCATAACATAGAATTCTCCCAGTTCCATACCAAAGAAAAACATTTGCCTGACTCCTCATATGTTCTGCAAATTTTCGTGTGATTCTCGTTTTATCGATTCGACGCGGAATAAATTGCATAAAATGACGGAAACTGGTTTGAAAATACTGATTACAGTACCCAAAGGTGGCGACAATCATGGAGAAAAGATTGTTTTGGTTTGGCGTTTTGTAAAAACACGTTTTGAAGGTGAAAAATCAAAATAAGCATAAATTGAAGAATGCCAACGTAATTTTTAAAGGAGCCGGAGAGGCAAAACGGGTGAGAAATTAGTAACACAGAGTATAGTAAGCCTATTTGATAATTCTGCAAATGTTTCACTGTTTCACTGCCTTGCAGGTCCCTTTAAAAGCAGGGAAAATGGCACAAAATATGCACAATTAAAATGCCGACTGCTAAAACGCCGACAGCCAAAATGCCGACATTCAAAATGTCGACAACCACGATTCCGAATTCAGAACGGATAACAACGGCCCTTTTTGGCTAATGGTCGCTTTCGATTTTTGTCGGCATTTTTGGGCTGTCGGCGTTTTACTTGTCAGCATTTTGCCTCAATTTCCTTAAAAGCAACGAAAAACGTCAGCTACAAATACGCCTAAATCCACGCAGCCGAGGGGGCCTTATACAGCGAGGTCTTTTGGTGGAATAATAGAGAGGGCAGAGAGCCGGCGTGGCGCAGCGGATGCGCCGAGATCTTCGACGTCTGCGAGGAGGTCATCATCCGAGCCGCACGAGGAGCAACGGTGCGGGCCAGAGTCGGTGGAGCTGCTTCGAACACGAAGATTAAAGGGTCAGGAGAGACGAAACACGCCTAAACAAGGCACAGATCTAGCCTAAACCAGAGCTAAGCAAGTCAAGCAAAGCAAGCTTAGCACAAGCCTAAGCCTAAATTAAAGCCGGCTTCCACAAGCCTAGGGCCGCGCCTTCCAAGCCTAATCCAAGCTCTCTAAGCCTAAGCTTAACCCCTTTAAGCCTAAGCCTAAGCCTGCCAAGCCTAAGCACAAGGGTAAGCCTGAGCTTAAGCCTGAGCGTCAGTTCATGAGCCAAAAGTCGACCCTCACCTCAACCGCTTGAATCGCCGAAACTTCTCGAGGAAGCTGATGTGGAGGAGCATCACGACTTAGAGGAATTTGAACAATAATCGAATTGAGAAATTTCTTTAGACGAGTTCAAGCAGTCAAGGAGCACCTAGAATTTCCAGCCGAAGAAATTTGGGTCGCGTCTGGGACAGCCAGCCATGGCCTCGGTCCCATGCGCCAGCTTGGGGCTCCTGATCCGATTTTTATCGGCATCCGGGTCACCCACAGCTTTCCCTGCCAACCAATCCGCTTTTTGCATCTGGAAGGGGATGGAATTAGCATTGACTTGGCCGAACCATGGAAATATTAGACTTGGAGAGAGAGAGAGAGAGAGAAAGAGAGAGAGAGAGAGACAGATCTGGAGATAGAGAGGGGAGAGAGAGCAAGAGAGACAGAGAACGAGAGAGAAAGGAGCGAGTGGAGGGGGAGAGCGAAGGACAGAGTGGAGAGAAAGAGAAACAGATAACGAAAAGAGTGGGAGAGAGAGCGAGCAAGAATGAGGGAGAGCGAGAGAGAATGAGAGAGCGAGATAGAGAGAGAGAGATAATATTCCGTTCCAGTTTATAGCGTCAAAAGCTTCGAAAATGTTTAAAATAAACAATATTCTGTGCCCTTGAAAACGGAAATGCCAAAAACCCGCCCACCGCTTTGCGCACGTATTTAGTAGCGTTTTGTAGCCCGCGAAACGAGGCAAGGGAGTGCTTTTGGTTTGCCGCGGAGAGGCTAATTTTCCGGGCTAACTTCCGATTCCCACGCGCACCGGTTCCAGAGCCGTCAAGGCAAAATTGAGTTTCGTTTTTTCACATTTGTTTTTGTCCAAAGGCGTTAGCTGAAAATCATTTTAATGATGTTTTTTCCTGACTTCCGGCGCCTTTAAAATGTATTATAATAAATTAATAGATTCTAGTCTACCCCTATAAGTTTTTCGGGCCAAAAATAAGGCGATTCTCA